CTCTGTGTGTGTGTTCGGGTGTATGTGTGTGTGTGTGTGTGTGTGTGTGTGTGTGTGTGTGTGTGTGTGTGTGTGTGTGTGTGTGTGTGTCTGTGTGTGGGCGTGTGTGTGTGGGCGTGTGTTTGTGTAGTGTGTGTGTGTGTGTGTGTGTGTGTGTATGGTGTGTGTTTGTTTGTTTGTATGTGTTTGTTTGTGTGTGTGTGTTTGTTTGTATGTGCATGAGAATCATTGTGTGTACGTTTGGTTTTGTCAGTTGGATTTTTGTTTGCTTTCCTTTGTATTGGTTTTATGTCGTGTTAGAGTTTCTCCTTCTTTAAAAGTGTCAGGTCTGGAGCAGACATTGACGATCATGGTACCCCACCCTTTCCTGTTGTCTGTCTTCCTGATAGGCTCTTTTTTTTCTCTTGTTGCTCTTTTCCGCAAAGTTGCAAGGTTTCCACTTTTAGACGAGGAATATTCATGAAAAGGGAATGGGGCGGCTAATGTTGCATGCCATACGCATTATTATTGATTCGCCATTTTTCGCCATGTTTATAGAACTTATTACTATTTTATTATCATGTGTCTGGGCGTCCACAGTTCTGTTTGTAAAGCCTAAACATTAATCCTTGTGCTGTGTGCTCTCTTTCAAGCGTGGTACTTGTTCTTTTTCTGTTTTTGTTTTTGTTTCTGATTTTTGGCTTATTCTTTTGTTTTTTGCTTTTGTATTTGATTGTTGTTGTTCTGTTTTAATTTTTTTGGTCTTTGTGTGCGGGTTGTCGTTTTTGTTGGTTTTTGAGTATTTTTTTGTTGCTGTAATCATCTTTTACAGACATTGCGGTTATTCATTTCTCTGTTTAGTAGTAGCAACAGTGTGATTATATGTTTCTGTTTATGGTCATTCTTTCCTTAAAAATGTTTTTTTCACTTCAGTTTGTTAATCAATGGAAGTTCTTTGCCTGTCTTTTTCAACAGGCAAAATCTGCCGGTAACAAGTTGAAGAAAACAGCGCTGACAGTTTCTCCTCGAGGCATCAGCATGGTGGACATGATGACGAATCAAGTTATGTTTGATATATCTATATACAGGTGAAACGTGTTCTTCTTTGTTCTCACATCAGGTCTAAAAGGCAGTTGAATGAAATATTGAATACCAGTAGCACAACATGTTTTTGCCATTATGGCTGTATACAGGGAGTGTTGTCATTCTTTATGTTATGTTTGTAAGAGTATTTTTTTTAAAGCGTGGCATTTTTAGATAAAGGGGAAATTGATAAGTCAAGTTTTCGTTGGAAGGAAGTAGACTAGAGTAAAAAGTGTGTGCTTGAAGGTAAGAAATTTTGAAAAGCAGAAGTTAAATTAAATTTCCATGGTGTAGTTGAAGATGTAATTTGAAAGCAGAAAATGTGGATATCCAACATAGTCTGTATACAATGTTAAATTATGATAACTGCCTAAGAATAAACTGTTGAAGCTTAAACCACTAGTCATGGTGACTCCTTTGGATAGATAAATGTAGAAGGTTTTGTAAGAAATAAAACTGCTCTGACCCTTGGTAGCCAAAAAAGACCCATAGCCTGAGGTTATCCCTCATTTCTTTGTGGGTAGTGGAACAGATGATATTGGTTCACCTCTTGGACACTTATCTATGCTTGCCTGTATTTTATCTACTCCTTATAGATATATTTATATGGGTGGTTGGCGTGTGCTCCTTCTTCCCTATCAAACATCTATAATCCTTATCTCTCCCCTCCTTCTTTTTTGTGTTGTTACTCTCTTGTAAATCTCTAATCTTCGGCACTTATATGACCTTATTGTGTTGCAAGTGTCGTAAAACTCTTACTAAAACTAGAGATATATATATACTCACTTCATGCTCAAGTGAGGGAAGGAAAAGTTTTGTCCTGTGTGTGTCTTGAATATTTGGAGAATGGTTTTCTGTACCATAACAGTTTTTTCCCCCCTCAGGAGGGGAAAGGAAAAGTTGATGTCAGTGTTTATCTTGTGGATTCAATGTAGGTCTGTGAGAAGGACTTACTGCTCTCATCCATGCGCTGCTGACCAGGGCTTTGCTCTTGTTTAATGTTAATTTCCTCCTGATCTATTTTTCCTGTATTCAGAGCACGCTATGGTTAATAAATCTTCTTAAAACTTAATTTCTCCCGCCAGCGCAGTGCCACTGACTAAAGTTGTCTTTAGGCCATACCGAAAGAGAGGATATTATCATGTTCTTGTGGACAGTAGAGTTGTAATGGGCTGATTTATCAATGTCATGCTCATACAGGGCCGGAGCAACATAGGGGGAACTACTGCTTTTTCTTTCCTCATCATTACTGTCGTCATTTTTCTCTACTTCTTTTGTGTGTTCGTCACTCTCTTGTGAACTGCTATTTTCGGGGTGCCTTGACAGTGGAAACAGACTTTGTGCTGTTGAGGCTATAGAGGTGATCAGAGTAAGCCTGATTCCCTGTTTGGACTTCTCTGCTGACATCCACCTCTTGGCCCTCATATGACCTTATGCAGTTGCGAACGCCGTTATCTTACTAAAACTAAAAAAAACCTTAATTTTGATTGGACCTGATGCAGACTGGTTTGGCTAGAGTAACAATATAGGACCTACCTTAACAACACATTTTGTTTGCTTTCCTTTGTGTCTCCAGTTAAGAGTAGAAGTGTCTCGTCTTAATCACATACTCTTGTTTCTTCTTTCAGAATTTCCTTCTGTACTGCTGACAAGACCCATGATAAAGTTTTTGCATACATTGCTCGCAATACAACCAATGAAACGATGGAGTGCTATGCATTCTTGTGTCCGAAAACAAAAATTGTAAGTAGCTTTTGTTTCACTTTAAACACCTCCTTCTACGGTTGGTCTATCATAAGTCTTCTGCAAGGAAGTTTTCAATAATTTCAATCAGAATCCTTTAATGTTGGCAGATAGTCGGAGGGTTTTGCTGGGAAGCCCTACTAGAGCACACACACTCACACCAGATACAACACACAGTGACACAGCTTCACAGCAACTCCAGGAGACAGGAGGGCAGTCAATACTTGTAGCACAACTGAAGAAGTCAAGGAAACAATTATTGCAGGCAAAAACGAGCACAAAATGAAAGACAGCCAAATTAGTTTTTGTTTAAGGGAAAGCATTGTAGGAACATCCGATGACAACATAGTCACAGAACATGTAAACAATCTGAAAAGAGTCAAGGGACCATGTAGACACAAAGTCTGTGAAGAAGCCGAGTTCAGTTGCACACCTCAAATGACAAATGAAGAAATTTTAGCAATGAAAGAAACAACTTATCTTCCATGGAGCCAGTTACGCCAGCAGAGGCGCTTTCTGAAAGAAGCTGGCCTATCAATGTCCAATGAGCACAAAGAGAGGCCATGAAAAGAATATCTGAGGGCAACATTCTCACAGAGCAAGTAGATTTTGTCGATAGTTTGGGACAGAAATGTAGGACAGAGTTTGCCAGATATTCACACATAGGTGAGTTTGTTACTGAACTCCTTAACCAACACAATCACAACCAAACACTTAAACTTACATGGCATGACTCTACTATTCCAGAGGATGAAATATGGGTTAAATTTTGGGGGATCATGGAAGGGGTGGCTTGACATTTACAATGCAAATTTTTAATACTGACAAACCGAATTCCAAGGTCAACACTTTTGTCGTCGCTATGGCACAAAAATCAAAGACAACTATGAGAATCTTAGGGTATGCATGTTTCCACTGGAGCCTCAGCTTGAAAAGCTTTCGAATTTAGAATGGGAGGGGAAGAAGATAATTGTTTTTCTTTTTGGGGACTATGTCTTTATTTCTAAAATCGATGGCCTCTCTGTTGCTCAAGGTACTTACCCATGTTTGTGGTGCCTCACAACCAAATATCAACTGGGGACATGTCGACAAATATGTTTTCTGCCTTGTTTTTTTGGCAAACATGAAACGTGACCACAATCGTTAAAAAAAATATGGCCATGGCTTAAAGATAATGTCGCTCGTTTTCAGCACAATTTACACCTCCCAAATATAAACATTGAACCCGTAAAGTTGCACCGCCATACCTTCATATCGTTCTGGGTATAGTTCTGAACCACCATTGTTTTCTAGAGGCAGGGACACACTCAGTAGACACACAGCTAAGAGAGCAATCAGAGGAAGACTGTGAAGGAGTTTTGTCGTCACTACGCACATATGGCAAAAACTGGAGTCGTGGGGAGTAGATTAGACATTTAGAAGGTTGCATAGTACTTTTTGACTCTGAAGAGGAGAGAATTAACTATCAAGAACAACTGACGGAGAAAGAAGACAGGTTGTCTGAGTTAGAGCATGGACCTCTTAGCCCTAGGACTGGCCCTATCTGTTCTCATTTAGACACCATACTTGAATCACCCAACATCACACAGCAGGTATATCACAGACGCTCTTTCATTGGCGATCACTGCCACAAATACATCATGAGCGGCATTTATAAAGACCTCACTGCATTTGTTGTAAAAGAAACAGTAGAAAACACCCACAACCAATACATAATTGACACCGCTTACAATCTCAGAGAAAAATTTGATCTATTAAAACAAAGCATTTAGGGACGTTCGCATCCTCATCTCACACAGCCAACCAGTGTCAAATTCAAAAGACTGACGACCACACATTGACATACTTCAAAACTTACATGTCATTATACCTGAGACACTGCATCCCGTGGGTTTGGTTTGGCTTTACATGGGGAACAGGATGGTGAACTTATCCATGCTTCTGTGGCAAAGCTGGAGAGAAGAGGAGCTGGGATGCGCAATATTGAATAGCAGCTGAAAGTTGTGATGCTATCTCAGCACCTCATGTCAGATCCAAAGCGTATTATCCAATGTGCCTACGACAAATAAAAAAGGTGATGCTGCAATCAACTCTTCACTATTCCAAACCTGTTGGCTTACCACAAAAACAACAAAGTGAATTTTGATATTGCCCATTTCTGGTGTATTTTATGTGAATTTGAACATTTTTTTGAGTTTTGTTTGATTGAAATTTTTATTTATAAATCTACACCCCACAAGGGCAATGTTAAAATATGAGCCATGTTTGGAATACTATATATATATTTATCATTATTTCATACGATTTTGCATCTTTCTCAGTGAGTGTAGAAGTTCCCTCTTCTTCCAAACGTTCAAAATAATATGACGACCAAGTCACAGATCGGCGTATTTTGCGAGTTTAACCCTATCCATACGCCCTGGGGTCATTTTATAATACCCGGGGGGTTGTATTCGTCACATTTTAGAATACTTCTAGTGCGGAGATCTCTTTGAAATTTTCAGTATTTCTAAAAAAATCATTTTGACACACTGCTATGCAAGGCGTACGGATTGGATTAACGAGTAAATTTCCTCTTTGGAAAGTGGTGGCACAGAGTTCCCCATGTCGTATGGGTACTATAGTAAAACACGGCGTACAGATAGGGTTAATTGTCCTAAAAATGAAGTGAACAACGCTGTTAGCGGGACGGGGGGAATTCCCCTGGCCTTGAGTTCATGACCCCATGATAAGATAAGATGAGATACATCTCTATTGTCCAGATCCTGACCGGGGTCAGATAACAAGATACAGCGCACTGGCTGCCTGCGAACTAAAGTACTGCTTCCTAACAGCCGTGATATATACTCAAAGTTTTTCAGGTTGGTCATGAAAGATTATCGTATCTCATCTTGTCTTGTTTTCCTCTGCTGTTTTTAATTTTTTTTCCTCTTGGTCCTCAGGCACAAGCAGTAACTTTGACAGTGTCGCAGGCGTTCTCAATAGCGCAAGATCGATGGATAGAGAAGAAAAAGTTTAAGAAGTCCTTACGAGATAAAACAAGGAAGGATGGGGTGAGTATTTATACTGTATGCTGTTCCTTCCTTGCCAAACAAGCCTACAGACATCACTGGTTTATATACATATAGAGGGGTAGATAGATTCTTAACCTCTTCAAGGCTTGGGGCCCGGCACTGCACATACCTGGTGGGTCCTCACAGGGCAAGCACCATTTCTATAAGTACTATCAATCCTCAAGTGTCATTTTTTGCTGTATGACCTGGTATTGTGGCCCAATATCTCAGGTTTCAGCACTCCAGCTCCAGGTCTTGGGACTACCTTGGGAGTGCAGGGAGAAATTGTTACCAAATTCCACCTGTGACTAGGACTTTGTGCTGTCCTTTTTCACATGGTGTTCCCGTTTGTAGACTCATAGGGCATTTTTTGGTGACATTGCTGTGCCACCTATCTCTCTGACCTGGTAAGAACAGTGCCAGTCGCTCCAGACCTGCTTATTCAACATATTCACAGCTAATTGCCATTACAGTGGCCATCTGCAACCTGGAACTCGTAATGTTAGGGATGATCACCCCAGCGCATTGGAATGTTTTATTTTCCAATTTTCTCCAAATTATGATAAATGTCCATTCCTGTAGAATGTTGATAAGTTTTACTGTGTGTTTAATGCCATTGTTTCGGTGTGTAATGTTAAATGATTGATTGTTATGCTTGACATTGTCAAACAATTCTCTGGACAGAGTGACCAATCAAGTTAACTTTCCTGATTTTGTTTTTGTCAGATTCACAAAAAATCATCGCAGTCTCAGTCAAGTCCTCAAAGCAGCTCTGTGATCAATAGTAGCCAGCCACTTCTTATATCATCTCCACCGCCAGGGTCCAACAGTACAGGTACAGTCTTAAGTACGTATTTGTTCTTTTCCTGGTTTGTTTCGTACATAACAAAACTTCCGTGGCTTCACAAATTAGAAGTGCTGAAGCCAAGAAAGAAGCCTGCAAGCTGCACACATCCACAAGTGGAAATGAAGCTTTCTTCTTCTTCTTCTCCTCCTCCTCCTCCTCCTCCTCCTCCTCCTCCTCCTCCTTAGTATTTGGCCCTGATAGGCAGGGTTGAACTAGCCTTCCCCCTAAATGGTGTAAATTATTTATAGGGGCGTAAAGCATGTCTATTCACTCCATGGATTTAATTATATTTCATGACAGTGGAGTGAGAATCAACCTTCTGCTTAAATTTTCAGTTTTTTTGGTGAATGTGAGAGAATGCATGAGTTTTTAAACAAAGTTCCAGATTCTGTGTATGTCATCAAGTAATGAACATGATGTTCAGTTTTCTGGAAGGGGAACGGAAGGACTCAAGAGGCTGAGTGCTTAGTGAGCTAAGACTCAAATAATGTCAGTGGCAGAGAGCATATGTATTACAACGCAGTGGAATCCGGCGCTCGTAAATTTTCGGGCCTATGGAGTTTTAGGTAGCCTCTTAAAGGTGGTTCATTTGCCTTGCTATCGACAAAAAAATTATCCATTTATCTTCAATAGAAGTCGAGATAATTGCAATTGAAGGAGGTGGGCTCACATGGTTTCGGAGGTAAAATTAGCAAGAAAATGGCCAAAGTTTGGTGACTTCCAAAGCTTAAGAGTCCTTGGAAACTGCAGATCTAACTTTGTTTTGCCTTAAATCAACGTTTTTCCATAAAATCCACCCATAAAAGTGTTTTTGAATAGATGTGTACACGGTGTTGAGCCAAAAAACAAAAATTCAAATAAAAATTCCAAACTGGCCGAAAATGCCAATTTCTCGGATTTCATTATTTTGATGAGCACATGATTTCACCGCAATGCCTTACATATGTTGATGGTTGGTCTCAGGGGTGTGTCGTAGAGCAAGACAATTATCATATCTCAAAAACATGAGGCAATGTTCAGTTGAAACCTCCAATGTCTTTATTTAAGATTGTCTGCATTTAAGTGGTGTTTAGGTTTTGTTTTATTGGTTTTTAAAAAAATGTAATGTTATTGAATTATTGTTCATCGATCACCCTCTAAAGATATGGTTTTTAGGAGAAAAATAGTAAAAAGAAAGGTTTCTCACTTAATCGAATTTATTAGGTGGGTTGGGTTTCAAGAGGCACAGCTCAGCTCCTACTGGATAGCTTCCCATGTTTATTCTATAATGAAATGTGACAGGTGATACCGACGCATGAAGGCAGTTACAGAGATTTGTGGAGTGTGGAAGGAAATTGTGAGAGTGCCCACATCTTGACACCCCCCCCCCCCCCAATTATTTGTTTAATTGTACTTCGTTACATTGTAGTTCATAGTTCATGTATTGGTTCTGCCTAGAAGATTCCTTCTTTATGTGTCCAAAGTATGGTTACAGCAGGATGCCTTGAAAAGTTTTGTTGCCCTATGCTCATTCCAGGTTCTTCGACTAATTAAAATCTTTAGAATGGACTTTTTAAAGCATGCAGATTATTTTTTTTAAATTCTGTTTTTATGATAGGAACAGGCTCTTTGGCAGACCAGGTGGGTGGTTGGCAGGTGCTCTGATGTGGTTTGCTCCGTCTCTCCTATCAATTTCCTCCTCTCCTTTTCTCTCCTCCTTCTTTTTTGTGTTTTTAACTCTCTCGTAAGGTCTCTGATCTTCGGCGCAAATGACGTTATTGTGTTGCAAGTGCCGTCAATTACAGCAAGACTCTTACTCAAAATAAAAAAAGCAGGCCAGGTTCTTACCAGTATTAATGCATTGCTCTGGCCATTATTAACTGAATCACCCCATAGGGTTCAATGAAAGTGGTGTTTATTTGATTTTTTTTTTTTCAGGCTCCCCTTCAAAGCAGCAAGTGGAGAGAGCAGACAGCCGGAAGAATTGGGTAAAATCTCTTACCGTATTATTTTATTGTTTTGTTTTCACTTGCTCTATGCCCTTTGTTTTTAAATCTTTTTACCCAGTTGCTAGTATAATTGTTTGATCATTGGACGAGACTAGTAAGAAAAACAGTCGAAAATGCTTCAACTACCACCTGTGCAAGACAACCACCTGTGCAAATGACCACTTCCCACTTTCTTCCTTGCATATATTTTTTCCTTAAATGTGTCACAAGACGGTGGAATCAGGTGCTTGTCAATTTTTGGGTGTGTGGAGTTACTGGTATCATCTTAAAGCCTGTTCAGTTGCCTTGCTTTCGATGAAAAAAAAAATACCCTTCTATGTTGAATAGAAGTTGTGATATTTACTATTGAAAAATGTGGGGGTCATCTGGTTTCAAAGGTAAAATTAGCGAGAAAATGGCCACCGAAGTCTAGTAACTACAATAGCTTGAGAGTCAATGAAAAGTGAAAATCTACATATTTTGTGCCTTTAACTCACTTGAGCCTACTCCCAAGTATTTACGGGACGGCCCACTGGCCCAGTGGCCTAAACCCATGTATTTGTGGGATGCACTTTATTGATTGGCATCTCCTATGTTTTTTGGTTACAAACTACGGGAAGCGGCGAGCCCACAGTTAACCCTCTAGTTTCATAAAAAACTTGAGCTGTAACGGACTAAGTCAGTCACCCCTGCATTGCGGTAGATGTTTTATTATAAATTGGGAACAAAACAAAATTATGTAACCCCCAGACATTGCCATTTAACTTATTCGCTACGTATTATTTTCGGCTTGTGGACGTATTTTTTTCGGGAGGGCAAAATGAGATGATGATTAGTGCGCATTTCACAGGTCTTTTGGGCCATAAATTCAAATAAATATCAACATATTATGTACCAACATTTTCAGTATGGTTAGTAGAATACATCTGTATTGTTTATTTGTGTATTTTTCAACTTTGGGTCCTGTAAGAGGCGATTATGCAACATAATTGTGATTGGCTGCGGATAAAATTTGAAAATAAAGAATTAATAATCTCAAGTGAAACTCAAAAAATATGTTTGCACCTAGTCAAATGATACATCAAAATAACCATGACTGTATATAGAACAGGAAAATATTGAAAAATGTGCAGTTATTTACATACATTCCATAATATTTGTACATTTGGATCATGACATTCGATATTGAACAAAAAATGTTTTAAAAATAATTTAGAAAAAAGGATCACAAACAGAAAAAAACACTCGTATCTTATATGGAATTATTCAGAATTGCATTTTGAATAAACCTATACATGTCTTGAGTGGTACTTTTTGTGTTATTTTACCAAAAAGTAGTGTTTTTGGGGAGAAAAAAATATTTTGACTATTTAGATCTAGGCCTAGATCTAACATTCAAAAATATTGATTTCTCAATTACAGTGCACTGGCAATTTGAGTCCAATAGTATCAATATTATAAACAAGAGTCCTACATTTCTTTAATGAGCAAAATAATGATATATTTGGTTGTGTAAAAGTACTCAGTCTGGTGTCTGAGCTATAATTTGGGCTTCGCGATAAAATAATGTCGCATAAACTTCGAAATTGTGTTTCAAAACTGAATCAAAACTTCCGATTTTCGGTGGAAACGCTTGACCCGGAAGTCAACATTATTTTATGACCTTTATTTTAACATGGATATATGGATTGGAATAGAAACCAAGCTAAAATTGAAAGTCGGTTCTCGAGGTGGCGGCTTAGCATACTTACGGCACTTTAGTCGTAAGCGAATGAGTTAAAAAATATTGATAAAATAAAGACTGTTCGGACATATTAAATGCAGTTTTCTTTTTCTGTGAGAGCATTTCTTTCTTTCTCTTGTTGCATTCTAAAAATTACTAGCTGAGCACCCGGCTTTGCTCGGGGTCGACGCCTTGGCGTCACTGCTCCTACTGGTCTGCGCCGCAGAGGCATTTTACATCTACATGTACCTTGCTGCCTAGCATTTCACAGTCATATCTGGCTTCTAGATCTATATTGCTTTAGTTAATTAACTCCTTTCTTGATCTACATTGCTTTAGTGTATTGTTGTCTTGCCCTTCACAATCACAAAATACGGATTTCGCCTTACACCATCACAAAAAAGCACTAAGAAAATAATAATCCACGAAAGGGCTGCTACACTGAAAAAGGAACACACCGACGTCTTCAAAATCACAGAGGCAGTGTCTATAGCTTGTTTGCTTTCCTCTGACAGCGTTAAAAAAATTCTAGCTCATTGACAAATTAACTTCGGCACACGAAACTTTGCATGACACTTCTACAGACTATTCGAAATGTGAGCGTGCAAATTCATATGCACATTTCAGATTATGACAAATGAATTATGGCAATGCAACATGGCTTGAAGATCAGAAATGATCCCAGGTTCAAGTACTTGAAAAAGACTGTTTCTGCGCTCTGAGGCTGCATCCCTTTCCATGAAATAAACTTACAGAAATGAATGCTCATTTTGGGGGGGGCAGGAAGGAGAGAGCCAATGCAATGATATACTTGACACTGCACGCGGAACTGTGGATTCCATCCTTTGAGGGTTGCATCGGTATACCCCATGGATGTGAGCTGAAAGCAATTGTTGTACAGTCTGATTTTCTCCAGAAAGTGAGTGGACAGTGTCGACACGCCAGACAGAAGGATTTGCAGTTCAGGAGGTGGTTTTGGAAATGGATGCAGATCAACTTTGCCATTGCTACAGAACATACCTTGTGTTTCATATGGAAATCTTATGGCCAGGCAGTGTGTACACTGTGTCGTCAGTTCCCCAAAGTAGCGCTCGTACTGAAAGGAATTGACAATGTAGAGGAATGCTTTTGGGAGATTAATATCTAGAGAGTCCCCATCATTTTGTTGTTGATCTAGACCACCTCGACCTTTGCGAGCTCGAGGGGTTCCAACTGTAGAACTTCTTTTTCTTTTCGGCATGGTCAGGCGCTATTTAGGTCTAGATCTAGATTCTATCTAAGATCTATTGACGTTGTTCCCAGTAGCAAGAAAAAGAATTTGACAAAGGAGTCCAGAAAAAGCGAAGATGGGCATCAAATGAAAGGATCGCAGTCGAATTTAGCACCAAGTAGAAAAATAAAACATGAGGCTAGATCTATATGGGTCGCACACTTAAAATAGTGCTCAGTATTGCGCGATAGTATCGAACGGAAGTACGACTTGAAATATACAAACCTAGCGGATTGTCTAAGATTACAGAGACAAAAGCGTCGGCCAACAAAAGCGATCAGCGAAATAAAGAAGTTTAGCTTTTTGCAGCAAAACTGTCTCAAAAATGAAAAAACGAAGGGTGCCATGATCTGAAGAATATTTTAAAGACCATTTTGGCGAAAACCGCATGTCGATCGATGCAGCCATTAAAAAGCCTTTTGAATAGCAAATTCGGCCACCACAAATAGATAATAGATGATAGCTTTCACAGTCCTTTTGTGGTTAACGCTTCAATATACCCCAAAAGTGTCAGGCTGCAATAATTGTTGAGTGAAAAATATCTCAGGCTCAAGTGAGTTAAGTTTTTCAGTTAAATTAACAGGGGAATGTACGGACATTAAAGGTCATAAAAACCCAAAAATTTGATAAAAATTGCCAAATTGACGGAAAAGTGCCTATTTCTTTGATTTCATCATTTTGACGAGTGCCTGACTTCACCAAGATGCCTCACAAATTGTAATGACACTGTCCAAGACGTTCACCTGTCTAAGACACCCACTTTTATCGCAATAGTGTGTGGCCGTCTTGGACAATTTTTTTTATCAATCAGCAGCCATCTCGTTCATACGCATATACACTTTCCCTGTCTGTCTGTCTGTCTGTCTGTCTGTCTGTCTGTCTGTCTGTCTGTCTGTCTGTCTGTCTGTCTGTCTGTCTGTCACTTAAAAAAGAAGAAGGGGAGATCAGTACGATAGATGTTTGATTGGAAAGAAGAAGCACACCACACCAGAAGACCCGCCAACCACCCACTTGGACAATTTTGTCAGTCTATGGTCTTGTAAATCTCCTAGCAAAGCCTGCACTTATAGGTTCAAGTGTAGGATCAGGATAATTTGTCTTATCACGTCCCTAGCTGTTTTAAAATGTCCAAGCCCCTCCTTCCCATAGATTCAGAATGCTTCAGGGTTGCTCTAGTGCATGCATATTATGAGCTTTTTCAGGAATGCCCGGCAGTATGATATTTGTTTTTATTGCTTTTGTTTTGTTTTTGTAAAAAATTGTGTGTGGCATTATGTGCACTGTTTGGATATGATGTTTAGGCATGGTATGTATCTTTGAGAAAGACAAGGGTGCTGCACTGCAGTGACTTGTGACTTTGCAATGCTGGCGACCGTTTCAGTTTCTGATGTTATGTCAGTGATTGGGATGGTTGTCATTCTTACACAAATCTGTCTACTTTTTGTGAGTGGTTAGAGGGCACCACTGGTAGGCAGCTACTTCTTTTCTTTCCTTCTATTGTTTATGTGTATCTTGCGTTTTCACTCATTCTAAATGGTAGTAATTGTGTCGATGTACTTCCATTAAATCTAAAAAAGAAAGTCTGTGTGATCAATGAATTTGTCTTTCCTTTTCTTTATTTTGTTCCAATTTTATCCTCCTTAAAATGTTTATCTGTCTACAGGAGAGTTTCGATGACAATGATAGTGATGACATAGATGACATGTTCTCACAGTAAGTATTTCTGACATTTGATCTGCTTCCCTATCTTTATTACCTCATTTCTGGCTGGTGTTTTAAACGTTTTTCATTTTTGCGTAACTTGTAGGGATGCATTGTGTGGTAATAGAAGGTAAGTAGAAATGTTTTGTTCAAAATTGCATATTTGATTTTCAGTTTATTTTGTAAATTCATGAAAACTGAGTGGAATGCTGAAATGTTGTAGTATTTTCTATGAGTATCACAACAATATTCTGTGTTAGGGATTAAAGGGTGTTTCTACAAAGCCTAAAAATTCTTCTTTTTCATACAATTTGATAGAAATTGCTTTCATTGCGACCTTTTCTGTTTTGTAATTTCAATCTACTATCAAGTCTCTGTGACAATGTAGCCTTGTGGAAATGCTCTCAAAATCCCAAAGCCTCTTGTTGTCAAACCTAGACTCTAAAATGACACTTATCTCTCACATTTATGTGTTCACACACTATGGACTATAATAGATATTTGAAAGAAAAAAAATAATTTAAGAATGCCTTTTAATTTCTATTTAATATTAATATATTTATTATATGGATCTATATAATATGTTCATAATTCTAGAACTTGTTAGATTCTTTGTATCTATGTGACGTGTTGAGACTTTGTTCGGCTCACTACGCCACATTCAGCATTTAGTAGGGCCTAGATTTTATGTTTGTATCTCTCGGATTCTGTTGATTTTTTTATTTCCTTGCTGGACACCAGTATATTGGTGTAAAAATCAGTGTTGCCTACACATTTTTCCTACTGGTACTGATATTTTACCTTTTCTCCTTCCATACCGATAAAGGCGCCTAAACTACAAGATTTACAATGGTCGCTGAGATTAAAAAAAAAAAATCAGCTCGTTTTCTTTCATGTCTTCCCCACCTGTGGGTCTTTTTGTTAACCTTTTTTACGCCTCTGCCAGGGTGGCTTATAACTTTTGTGAACTTGCAGTACCAAAATTTGTTTTTGAATGCGCAGTGGCAAAGATGGGGCTTTAGAAGAGGATGACTGCTGGGCCACCAGGAATTAGAATACAATCGCTGACACACTAAGAACAGCCCGTGAACTTAAAGAAGTCTCTAATTTTGATATGAGAAAGACCCGGAAAAATAACTTCAGTTCTCCAAACTTTGAATGTTTGTACTGAGGAGGTAGCCCTGATAGATTATGAACTATAATTGATAGATATCCTGGAAAAAAGATCTTAGAACAACTGTAAATTTTTTTATGGATAAGGCCTACATAATTTTAGATCTATGTGATTCATTGAATTTAGAGGGGGCTCTTGTGGTCTAGAGATAAGGCGTTCGCCTCTTATTCATTAGATCCCGGGTTTGAAACCTGACAGGGGAGAAAAAATGTTCTTCTCTAAAATGTCCTCCTTTCGTTTCCTTTCCAGGTCTCTAGTCCTGTTCTCTCACCTGTGTTCATCTCCCCTTTCTCCC